TAATTTAATCAAAATTTATTTATTTATAAAAAGTTTAAATATTAATTAAATACAAAAAATATTATTCTATTTATTATTAATTACTTTTAAGTTAGGTGTAACCATATATTATGTTAAAGTGCACATACTCAATTTTCACCCTTGCAGGGCATGCCCTTCTATTGCCAAATTGCAGCAAAGGAACCAGCCTCATGACTCGTCCCCTAACACCACCACTCTCCTAACATCTATCTACATTCCCCAGCCCCGGCCGGCCGCAGCCTACCTCCCTTCCGAGGGCGAGCCGCATGGCCTTCCAACAAAAACTGAAACACACAATATATCACAACCAGCCCCGTTGCCGCTACTAGAGAAACACCTTGCAGCAGCACCATCATTGAACAACCTCCTCCTCGGTGGCTCGATGCAAAATAGTGTACAAAATCCAGGAAGAGAAAAGAAGGAAACCATGGCAAAAAATAAAAGTAATAAAAATAATAATAAATAATAAATAATGAAAAGAAAGTGGGGGCAAAATGGATATTCTATACCCATGCCGATTGACCATGTTTTCAGTCAATTGAGACCGAAAAATAGATTTCTCAAATCTGATTAACATGAAATAATCCAAAATTTTTATTTAATGGAGCATAATATATATCTTGAATTTATTCAATTTTTTCCCTTTCGGAATTGAAATGATGAGTGCACGTGTGACTTTTATCGATTTTTTTTTTTTTTGAAAATAGGTAATGGAGACTTTTGTTGACTTTTATTCAGTGAGAAAAGGAGAAAAGAAAAAAGATCACATGTACAAAAGAAATTTATTAATTCTAATTCTAACATAACATCTATGAACAAAAGAAGTGTTTCATCTTATTTATAATTTAAAATTTTTAAATTATTAAAATAATAAATATTATTTATTTTAATAATTATACATTATATAATATTTTTTAAATTTTAATTAATAATTAATAAATTTTATTATATTTCATCTATAATATTTTTCAAAAATAAATAACTAAATATTAAAATAATTTTCAAACATAATTACAACATAACATAATTCAATACAATTATAAGCACAACCACAATCATACTTACAATAACCTTAAATGCACCCTTAAACATTTATATCCAAGACCCATCATTATTATTTTGATGACTCAAATTCAAGAAGATAAAAATTAATATAAATTTATCACGGTCGATGAGGTACAAGAGTGCCATATGTGAAACTTCCTGATGCAGTACCACTAATTTTCTTCTCCTCCAAGTTCGTCCCCACCGCGTTCCAACTCAAATCTTTCTTACAAGGAATCCATTTCATCAACTTCTCGTCGGAACAATACCTGTGTTTAGAGAAGAATGCAGCGCATTCTGTTTCTGGTCTTTGATCCGGAACGCCTGAAATGCAGTTCTTCTTAATGTGAAGCTTTTTCGCCTTTATTAATTTTCTACATTCAGGTCCTACCTGTATGAACAAAAGCTTAACT